CACGATCCATGTACCTGTCCCTGCAAAAGATTCCCTGGGAGAGTGCGAGGAGACAGAAAAAAGCAGCAAGGCAATGTTAATTACAAATGTGACTAAGCCCTACCGGCGGTCACACATACAGGTGAAACTCGAATAATTAGAATATCGTGCAAAGTTCATTTATTTCACTAATGCTACTTAAAAGGTGAAACTAATATATGAGATAGACTCATTACATGCAAAGCAAGATAATTCAAGCCGTGATTGGTCATAATTGTGATGATTATGGCTTACAGCTCATGAAAACCCCAAGAACCCCAAATCCACAACCTCAAAAAAGTAGATTATTACATGCAATCAATAAAACAAGGATTGTACATAGAACAATATCGGACCTCTGAAAAGTACAAGCATGCATATGTACTCAGTACTTGGTTTGGGCCCCTTTTGCAGCACTTAATGCAATTACTTTTGCACGATATTCTAATTATTCGAGTTTCACCTGTATATGGGGGTTATTCACTGTGGAGCCGAAGGATACAGCCGTAGCTTCTGCTGATCCTTCGGCTCTCTTCGGCCGCCTCTGCCCTTCGGTTCAGTCAAACCGAAGCACTGCTGTACGGGCTATTCACCATAGCCCGTACAGGAGCCGAGCTGAAGGCATATTCCTAGGTTCAACTGAGCCGAAGCGTGGAGGAAAGTCGGCCGAAGCCGACCGATCTCCACGCAAATGACAGCTGGGCGGAGCCAGTCGCGATTTCAGGGCTGGCTCCGCCCAGTTGTAATGACAGATCAGCATCCCAAATGACCTGGGGACACTGATCTGTCATTAAACAATAACAACTAGGCGGAGCCAGCCGTGACATCACGACCGGCTCCGCCTAGTTGTTATTTATTGGTCGGGACCTGCTCGAAGACTCAGGCAGGTGCCAGCCAATAAGAAACAGTTGGGCGGAGCAGTCACTGCTAGCTCCGCCCAATTGTTTTTCTTTATTTTTTCTTCTTCTTTAAAATATCTTTATTTTTGTATTTTCCTATTTATTTACATTTTTTAAATCATTTTTCAACTCATTTTTTTTCCTTTTCATTCTCACTTATATTCTATTCTGCTCAGTACCAAAGAGGTACCGAGCAGAACAGCCGAGCCAAATGCGCCTCTGCGGTATTCGGATATTCACTCACAGCCGTTCTCCCCCTATGAGAATAGGGGAGAACGGTAGTGAGTGAGCTGCCGGAGCTTCGGCTCAGCCGATCCAGATGTTGGATGTTGGAGTCGAAGTTTCTCTGCACTTCGGCTCAGCCGAACATGGAGAGCATGTTCGCCTGACCGAAGGCAGCCGGTGTAAGGCCGATTTCAGCCGGTGTATGGCTGATATCAGCCGTACAAGCCAGAAGTGAATAGCCGAACGTTGTGCGTCTCACTTCGGCTGGGTTAGTCACTCGGTTGCCTTCGGCAGCTTTGTGACTAACCCCCATAGAGGTACAGTGGTACCTCGGTTCATGAAGTTAATTTGTTCCATGATTCTGGTCGTGATCCGAATTGGTCGCAAACTGAAATCAAATTTTCCAATAAGGTTCAATGTAAATGAGGTTAATCCGTTCTGAACCATATGTAAATGTGTTACCACTCTGCATGCTTGCTCTGCACTTTCTTTTTACCACCATGCTTGCTCTGCACTTTCTTTTTACCGCCATGCTTGCTCTGCAGTTTCTTTTTACCACCATGCTTGCTCTGCACTTTCTTTTTTCCGCCATGCTTGCTCTGCACTTTCTTTTTACTGCCATGCTTGCTCTGCACTTTCTTTTTTCCGCCATGCTTGCTCTGCACTTTCTTTTTACCGCCATGCTTGCTCTGCAAATTACGACCCAAAAGGTCCTTCTTTCAATCGATTTAGTCAGCTCTCGATTGATTTCGACGGCGCCAAGATTTTCACCTTTGGCGGAAATTCGTTGATCACTTCTGATCCTCCGAACAAATATCTGCAACCGAATGTAATTGAGATCAATTCAGTGATCGTTATTAATAGATTGTTTATACTTCTGATAGAAGTCATTTTCGATCGATATTTTCAGCCGATATCGGATGTCTACAACGATCAATATTTCTAAGATGGATTGTTTGTGCGCAGTCTCCATTACCCCTTCCCAGGTGAAAGGGTCTTTACACAATCCGACATGATGAAGGAACCGCACTGTCACCACTAAGATATCGTGTACTGAACAGCGCCGTTTTTAAAGCTCAACTCCGGGCACAAAAACTTGTATTTAAATGTATTCCTCAATAGCAACAGATGATATAAATCCACTTTATGCACACCAAACCCAGATATTACCTTTAAAAGTAGCAGTGACATCACAGGGGTGTGGAAATTTTAGAAAAAAACTACTTGTCCAAGGACTAAAGCGGGGGCCGAATCTACTTGTCCTGATACAAAAAAATAATTTTAACCAAAACCGTATTTAGTAGTGCTAAGAAGCGCTCCTCATTGGTCAGTGCCGTCAGGTGACCGCGTTGACCAACGAGTGCTTGCAATTTGCGAGCGGAATTCACAATACATGGAACAGGTACAGATAGTACACCCGTACTGGTGGACGGGAAGGACCGTTTGCTGAAAGGTAAGTATGGTGGGAGGGAGATTTGTGCGGGTAATTCCATTTTCCAAAATTACTTGGGAAAGTGAATTTACCCTTTAGGGTTGGTGCAGACTTGGCCAATCCCGGGACACGCGATCGTGTGCGGTTGCATACAGCGGTTGCAGCCCGCGGCGGTATTGCAGCAGGAAAACACACATCCCCCCCGCTCTCGGCGCTCCACGCCCCCTGCTCGCAGCGCCGCTCTCGGCGCTCGTTTAAGAAAAAACGCCCGGGCGTCGGGCGATACGAATTCCACACCCCTGCATCATCACTGTGCTGTACATAGCTTGTGCAGAGAGCAGAGCTGTGGGAGTAGAAGGAGGGGGTGGAGACATGACCAGTCACCCTGCCCAAGGAGAGAGCAGCAGTGAGCGGTCTTTATTACAGAAGGGGGCGGAGACAAGACCAGTCACCCTGCACAAGGAGAGAGAGCAGCGACTGGTCTTTATTACAGGAAGGGGCGGAGACAAGACCAGTCACCCTGCACAAGGAGAGAGAGCAACGACTGGTCTTTATTACAGGAAGGGGCGGAGACAAGACCAGTCACCCTGCACAAGGAGAAAGAGCAACGACTGGTCTTTATTACAGGAAGGGGCGGAGACAAGACCAGTCACCCTGCACAAGGAGAGAGATCAGCAGTAACTGGTCTTTATTACATGAAGCACGTGACACACTGCATGGGAAGCCGTGCGGAGCGAAGCAAAGCTGTGAGGCACGGACGTTCACATGCAGTGAGTGAGCTGCGTGCGGCCAGATGAAGGACTGCATCTTCAGCCAATCGGCTCTCGCGTAACAACCGGATGGACTTCGCATCCTTACGCGCGGGTTTATACGTAAGCTGACATGCCGGAGTGAAAATGACATGACACACTGCACGCGAAGGTCCGCACACCACCGCTCCGCGCTGCTTCCCTTGCAGTGTGTCACAGGCTTAAGAGTCTGCACACACACTTTGTGTAGGAAAAGGACTCTTGGGAGATGTAGTTCTGGGGTTGTGCGGCTTGCCTACCTCAATTGGAACTGAGCTACCAGCAGCTGCCCATACAGTAATTTTAGCCTGGTGATGACGTTACAGTGAGTGATCGCAGTTGTTTCTCGCGACATGCGATAACCTACAGTGGCTCCCAGCAGGTCCCCCGATTCCGGGTCAAACTCAGCCGCAGCACAAGGTGATTATGAACGCTGGAGGAGGCGGAGTGAGGAAAGCGGGAGGCTGGAGAGAAGTGCGTTATAAGAAGCTGAGATTGAAGGAAGCGGAAACCTGAAACCCAGAACCCGATAATTGCCGTGATTGTTAAAAGCAGATAATAGCGGAGAGAGAACTGAGCGGCCTCATTACACACAACATAATATAACCAGCAAAACTACTCCAGGGGAACATTTAAAGCTGAACTGCGTCCTTCCCTTCAGTCTTCTACCCGACCTCCGTCCTTCCCTTCAGTCTTCTACCTGACCTCCGTCCTCCCCTTCAGTCTTCTATCTGACCTCCGTCCTCCCCTTCAGTCTTCTACCTGACCTCCGTCCTTCCTTTCAGTCTTCCACCTGACCTCCATCCTCCCCTTCAGTTTTCTCTCTGACCTCCGGCCTCCCCGCACAGTTGTACCGGCTCCTCTCCTCTGATATCACTGTACACTAGGAACTTCTCACAATGTGCATTAGAATCTGCAGCAAGTCAGATAGAGCTCCGCCTCATTTCCTGGCTGGAAGACGCCCAGCGTCATTTAATCTATTCTTCCCCAGCCTTTCCCATTGTCCCTGGCCCCGCCCCTTTTATTCATTGGATTTCAGTTCTTCCAGTTATAGAGACTCAGCGTCACATTTGGGCATTACCTAAGGGCGCGCTGCGTGCAAATGAAGCCTGCTTAGAAATGCCAACTAATCCAGACTGACACCCACCCAGCCACTAAACTGAACTCTCAAGCCAGCCTACTGCTTGCATCAGGGTTGAGGGCTATTGAGAGGAGTAATGAGGCAGGGTGCTGTGACGTTTTCACAGAGCTATGTACAGCACCCTGCCGGCACCTCCCACCAGCAACAACCTGCCTGCATTGTATAATAGCTCCCTTGTCTGTATTTCAATAGACTGTAAGTGTTATTTGCAGCAGAAAACAAATCCGGTCTCAGGCAGGACTGAGCTGTGTAAATCGCAGGACTGCATGGAAATACAAATCCTTTGTCAGGTAAATCAGCTCCCATTTATGTACAGTATGTTATCAGTGTATTTAGCTGCCTGGAGTTCGGCAATGGGATGTGTACAGTGCAGCAGGTGTCAAAAGACAGGCCCCGAGCTGCTGACACACTGTTGGGGGGACACATCGAAGGTACCTGAGAACCACATGTGGCTCCTGAGACGCTGGTCCGAGAACTTCATTCTGTTGAAAACTCACCACTGAATCTCTTGTGATTTTCATAATCCTGGGAGCAGGGAATTGGGAAGAACTTGTGTTGTATCGTTTCCCGCTGGGGGGCTAAGACCTCCATCCCGTCTCCGCCAGGATAGTCCCACACGAAGAGAAAGACAGATACGGCCAGAAGTGTACATAGTGCGCCCCAGAGCGCTTGGCTCCTCCATGATGTTCTATGAGCTCTGCTCTTCCTGTTCCTACAAGGAAACAAAAAATGAGAAGAAGGGTAAATGTGGGGGTACAGAGAGGGTAAAACCCTATGTGGAAGGGTTGGGGGGGGGGGGGGGAAAGGGTGGGGGGGGGGGTGTAATTGTCAAACTATAAGTGGTGATAGGTAAATGTGGGAAGAAGCAGGAGGTGTGAGGGGTAAATATGGAGATACAGGTAGAGGGAAGGGGGTATTTTGGGGGTAAAGGAGGTGAGAAGGGTAAAAATGGGGGCACGACAGGGGAAGAAGAGAAAATATGAAAGTGCTGTGGCTAAGAACACAGAATATGAGGGTACAAAGGAGGTAAAAAGGGAAGATATAGGGGTACAGAGTGAAAGAAGGGTAGATAGAAGGGAAGGGAGAAGTGAAGATGTGGGGGTGCATGGAGTGGGAGGGATAAATATTGGGGTACAGGAGAGTGAAAATTGAATATGTAGGGATATAGGCAGTAGGACAGATTAATACTAAAGTACAGGGGGTAAGAAAATAATATATTGGGGTACAGGGAGTGATAAGGGTATATTTGTGGGTACAGAGGATAAGAATGGAGGATTGTGGGGTGCAGGGAGTGATAGAAGTATATGTGGGGGGTACAAATGATGGAAAAGGATGCAGAGTGATAAGGGTATATGTTGGGGTACAGGGAGTCAGAAAAGTAAAGACGTGGGGGCAGGAGGGATAAATACTGGGGTACAAGGGAGTGAAAAGGGACTATGTATGGATTCAAAGAGTTGGAGGGATAAATACTGGAGTACAGGGGGTGAGAAAAGGGAACACTGAGGTACAGGGAGTGACAAGGGTATATGTGGAGGTGTGGAGGATAAGAAGGTAGAATATTGGGGGTACAAGGAGTGATAAGGGTATATGTGGAGGTACAACAGATGAAAAGGTAGAATATTGGGGTACAGGGATTGACGAAGGAATATGTGGGGGTTCATAGGAAGAGAAGGAGAATATTGGGGGTACAGGCAGATATAAGGGTAAATACAGGAATACAGGGAATGAGAGGTAGAAATCGGGGTACACTGGCTGAAAGTAGGGGTCCAGTGAGCAGGAGGGGTAAATATTAGGATATAGGGGTGAGACAGGTAAATGTAGGATTAGGGGAAGGCTAGAGTAGAACATATAGAGATATGGGGGGATGACAGGGGTAGATATCAGGGTACAAGAGGGTGAAAGGAGATAATAATGCCCATATGTTTCCTCAATCTCCCGCCATGCTGTCAGAGCAGCTGTCACACTCCGTACATTCAACCAATGCCAGCCGGCTGTGCCCCCTCCGCTCCCCGCTTCTCACCCCGGTCTTCCTCCCACCGTCCCCCGGTTAGGCCCCGCTGGATCCCCATTCTCTCCCGGGACTCGCGGCCGGCGCCGGCTTTTGGTTGCCATGGTGACTTCTCACTGAAGCCCGAGGCTGTACGTGGAACTCGTAGATTGGCCAGGCCTGGGTGGAGAAGCCTGAGCAATCGAGTCCGGAAGAGCTGCAAACATGATGAAGCGGTGAGAGACGGCAGAGGGTTATGACTACTGTCCCTTTCATGCTGATTCCCTGACATTCTTTACCCCCTGAGGAAACAACTGGGGTATTAGGAGTGCAGAGAGGGCATCGGATAGTCTACCTCCTGGGGGTAATCAGCACGATCCCCCTAGCACGATCATAGGTTTATCAGGAATACAGAGGGGGCGTAGGATAATCTACCCCCTGGGGTAATCATAGGGGTATCAGTGGTGCAGACACGGCATAACACAATCTACCCCTTGGGGTATAAGTGGTGCAGACATGGCATAACACAATCTACCCCTTGGGGTAATCATTGGGGTATAAGTGGTGCAGACATGGCATAACACAATCTACCCCTTGAGGTAATAATAGGGGTATCAGAATTACATACCTAGAAGAAAATATCTATGTCCATGAAAATTATTCTTGCTGCATTTGGATATAACCTGAACTCTGTGTTCTTATTACATGTTAAAGTGACACTACACTCAGGAGTTATATCCTAAAAAATGCATTGAAGAACCTTAACTATTAACAACAATGTATCTTATTTGTGTATCACTCGGCTGTAGATCCTCCAATCATCTCTGAATTGGTGCTGACACTGTCCTTCCTTCTGGAGGGTGACTACTTGTGTTCCCCATGGTCCCTGTGTGTGTTGTAGAGTAGTCACCGCTCCAAGCTCATTCCCGGGATGGGCCACAATCTCATGTTTATTTTACTCATTTGTATTGAGATTGTAGTCCATCCCGGGAGCGAGCTTGGAGCGGTGACTACTCTACAACACACACAGGGACCATGGGGAACACAAGTAGTCACCCTCCAGAAGGAAGGACAGTGTCAGCACCAATTCAGAGATGATTGGAGGATCTACAGCCGAGTGATACACAAATAAGATACATTGTTGTTAATAGTTAAGGTTCAGGAATGCATTTGTAGGATTTAACTCTGGAGTGTAGCGTCACTTTAATCCTACATGACGTAGAGGTGAGGTGTGGAAGAGTTAGAACCACGTCTGTATCGGTTTTGTCAGCAAGAATAGAAAGTGACGGGAAATCCAAAACTTTACAGTTGTCATTGGAACAGGAAATCTTTCAGTGGAGACAACTGTTCAAATGAAAATGATTAAAAGACTGTTTCCCTCCACTTTGAACTCGTATCCTCTTACTTCCTGTTGTGTCCCCAGGACAGGAAGTGAAGAGAAACGTCACCAACGGAACCTAGCAGAAATAAAATGACTGGGGTTTTAATCATTGCCTTCTTTATCCAACTCTAGAAAAAAAAAATCAGATGAAGATCTATTTTAATCTTCATTGACTGACTTCTGTTATTCTGCAGGCAGCAGGAGACGCCGGACGGCACGGGGCTCAGCCCGGAAAGAGTATCTTTTAATTTAACTCTGGTTCACCTCGATCTGAAAGGAGCTCCCCCAAAGGTGTCCTATCTTGCAGAGGTAAACGTTGTCACCATTTTGTGTACTGCATTTGTATAACACGGTGATATGGCGTCCACAAGGCCAGATTTGCAAGACTGTCACTGGCTTGTCAGCAACTCTACCTGTGGTGGTTAAAATATTTTTTTGCAGAGGGACAGAAAGGAGCCGCCTCACACATTAGAGTCCCCCTTTCATAACAGAAGCCCCTCCTTTAACATCATGAGCCCCCCCCCCTTTCACATCAGGGGCTGCCCTTCCACATTAGGGTCCCGGTTTATCATCATGAGCCCCCCTTTTACATCAGAGCCTCCCTTTCACATCAGAGTCCCCACTTTCACCTCAGAGTCCTCCGCTTTCACATTAGAATCCCCCCTTTCACACCACAGTCCCTGTTTTACATCAGAATCCCCCTTTCACATCAGGAGCTGCCCTTCCACATTAGGGTCCCGGTTTAACATCATGAGTCCCCACTTTCACCTCAGAGTCCTCCTCTTTCACATCAGAGTCCCCCCTTTGACACCACAGTCCCCGTTTCACATCAGGCTCACCCTTTTACATGAGAGTCTCCCCTTTGTGTCATGAGTCCCCCTTTCACACCAGAGTCCCATCTTTCACATCAGAGTCCCTGTTTCGCATCAGGAGCTCCCCTTTCACATGAAACTCCTCGTTTTACATCAGGAACCGCCCTGTCGCATCAGAGTCCCCTTCATAATAGATGCTCCCATTCACATCAGAGTCCCACCTTTATATCAGAGCCCCGCCCCCCCCATCATCACACATCGGGGTGGATGTTCAGGAAGCCATTACAACAAAACATTGCATAAACGAATAGTAAAATTGAAAGTGTAAACCAAAAACCTTTTTTTGTTTAGCATGTTTGTCATCACTGTATACAGTTTTATTAAAGTGTATCTAAAAACAAAATACATTTTTTTCCCCTTTTATTTTCACTAGGGATGCACCGATACCGGTATTTTGGTACCGAGTACCGATCATTTTTTTTCGGTACTTGCTGATACCAATTACCGAGTAACGGAAGTCCCATTCAGGAAGCCAGGTAGCGTGTAATGACATGAGGCCCTGCTTTCTGATTGGCCAGGAGGCCGGCTCCATGCTCCCTCGTCATGAGATGACAAGGGAGCAGGAAGCCAGCTTCCCAACCAATCAGAAAGCAGGGCGTCGCGTCATTACACGGTGCCGGCTTCCTGATTGGCCGGCCAGACGGCTCCGGCTGGGTACCGGAGGAAGGCCGCGTCATCGCTGGAGAGGCCCCGGGGGTGACAGGCTGCACATACTAAGGTAAGGTAACCTTAGCTCACAAGGCCAGCTTCCCGACCAATCAAGAAGCCGGGCAGCGCGTCATTACATGCTGCCCGGCTTCCTGATTGGCCAGGAAGTCGGCACCATGTCCATGCTCTCTCATCACAAGTGACGAGAGAGCATGGAGCCGCTTCCCGGCCAATCAGAAAGCCGGGCAGCGGGTAATGACGCGCTGCCCGGCTTCCTGATACCGGAAGTACTCGTGCTAGGCATCGGAGCATTTGGACGAGTACTCACCCAAATACTCGGTATCGGCACCGATATCGGTATCAGTATCGGTGCATCCCTAATTTTCACCCGGTGATCCTTTTAGTAATAAAGTTCCTGTCTTAGGGTGACAACTCTCAGCATTTCCTCTTTCAGGCTGAAGTCCCAAAGGGATACATGAAGGCAATGGGCTACATGGCCTGGCAGATGCCACCTTTACCTAACATATCAGTTCTTAGTGGACTGATTTCCATTGCAGTAATGATCCGTTTTTTGTTTTTAACACGCGGATACAATTTCCTCTCCAGGTCCTTCCTCTGTTATCTAGTCTTGGAGCAAACGGTCTTTTGATTGAGTATGAAGACACCTTTCCATATTCTGGAGAACTCCTCCCCCTGCGGGCAGCACATGCTTACAGGTATGCCTGGTGAGAAGACATTACAGCCATTTCAGGTGGGTTTCTTGATGGTGACACAAGTGGAACGTGCCATCTCCATTGGGGGAGCATGTGACAGGGTGACAACACAGAAGCACAGTTAGGAAACAGGGACAGAGCATTGTCTCTCTATAACAGGAAGTGATTAAAGGAGAACTATGGGGTTAGGGCTTTTCCCCATAGTTCTCCTCAGGGTCACGGGAGGACACAAACTAGCGTCCTGCTGTCACCTTAAGCTCAGTATACTGCGAGCTACAGCTCGCGGTATACTGAGACGCCGCAGCTGAAGCGGATCCCGGCGTAGATGACGGGATCCGCCCAGCTGCGTGAGTGACAGCTGGCTCTGCCTATCTAGAGGCAGAGCCAGCTGTAATGCCCCCCCCCCCCGTCCTTTCCGCCAGTCAGCGCTGGAGGATCGGAGCGGGGAGGGTGGAATCCAGCCCCTCCCCTGTCACGGCAGAGAAACGTGACAGGATCGAGAGGTGAGCGAACGCCGGTATGTGTTCGCTCACCTCCCGATCTACTGAGCCGACCTGTGACAGTCTCATTGTCACAGGTCGCCTAGAACTATGAGGTGAGTGAAAAGCACCCCCTCATAGTTCTCCTTTAAACAAGAACCTCCATGGCAGGATTGCCAGTCTGGAAATTACTTTTTTGAAATGACATTTGAAGCTGATTGTAGTGATTGGGCTTAGATCTATTTTAGCTGACCAGCAAACATCAAGACTAGTGATGGGCTCGGGCATGTTCGCGGCTCCACGTGCCGAGCCTGCCAGCAAGCTGGCAGCGCCAATCACAAGTACTGAGACATGTTCATGGTCCGCAGCTGCAGAGATCGGGAAATGTCTCAGTGCCTGTGATTGGAGCTTTGCGATGTCAGCTTCCTGGCGGGCTCGGCACGTGGATCTGCAAACACGCCCCGAGCCCATCACTAATCAAGACTGGGTAACACTGGGACTTGGTATGCAATAGATGATTAAAATGATCTGATTTGCTTGTGTCCCACCAGCCCCCAGGAAATCCGAGACATACTGCAGCTGGCACAGCTCCACCACTTTGAAGTTATCCCATTAATACAAACGTTTGGACACATGGAGGTAAGACTGGAGAAATGTTCGATGGCCGGGAATCTTTTGGTCGGCTTCATAAGAATAACATCCGGATGTCTTATTTGCAGTTTGTACTGAAACACAAAGAGTTCTCTCACCTGAGGGAAGTGCCCATGTACCCCAACAGCCTGAACCCCCACAAGGAGGAATCTCTCCGCCTCCTGCAGGTCATGATAGGACAAGTCATGGAGCTTCATCCTGCAGTTCAGTGGCTTCACATCGGCTCTGATGAGGTACGGGAACAGACTTCAGAGGACACGCTAGGTGGTGGTGGTGGTTGTGTACACCTTCTCCATATGTAAGTCTTTTTCAATGGTCATTTCCCAGAAAACGGAAGGTGAAGGGAACCAAGTGACTAAATGGGTCATATGTCATTTATCCTTAATAATTTTTGCTATTACAAAGAGTAGGAAAAATACTGAATGATAGTTTTGTAGCCATTAAAATCTGATTTTAGGGTCCCATCCCACTACGCGAGTTGGGCTGCATTGCTCAGCGCAGGCCCAGTGCAATGACAAGCTGAAATGCATTGGTGTGCATTGAGTGCAAATGGAGCATGCTGCATTCATTAAGGCCTCATTCACTCGAGAAACGGCCGGCACATACAGCTGCGTTCACGGCCGTATCGGGCAGCTCCCGGGAAGAACAGGTGCTGCGTGTGATTAGTATGCAGCCCCTGTTCTTCTATACAGGAGTGCGCCGCCCCACGCTCACCTGCCCTGCACGTCCGTGCAGGTGTCCATACTCGTACGCTGACAGGATGGATCCTGTCTGCGTCCGAGCCAGGACACCCACACCCATACGGACATGCATGGCGGGTGAGCGTGGGGCGGCGTACAGCCGCATACTCCCATAGAGAAGGACAGGGGGCGCATACTAATCATACGCACCACCTGTCCTTCCCGGGAGCTGCCCAATACGGCCGTGCACGGAGCTGTACGTGCCGGCCGTTTCTCGTGTGGACGAGCCCTAAATGTAGTGCAACATACGTCAAGGAAAGTATTTTGGCTCCAGCTGTGAACAAAAAAAAAATCATTGCAATGCAATAGAAAAAAGCATGTCAACTGAAATGCATTCCAGCTCATCAATGCACTCTAAATGCAACACAGGTGGTGTGAATCCAGCCTAATGCTGTGATGTGTGTGAGGGGGAAAAAGAGTTTGTTATTTGTTGCATGGGCATGTTTTAACAGAGAACTATGGGGTAATCTTTTTATCCCATAGTTCTCCTTAGGGTCACGGGAGGACATCTACTAACGTCCTCTTGTGACCCAAGGCTCAGTATATAGCAAGCTATTGCCCACTATATGCTTAGAGCTCCGCAGCCGGGACGCATCCCGACAATACTGTTGAGATCCACCCTGCTGGCTGACTGACAGCGGGCTCTGCCTATCTAGAGGCAGAGCCAGTTGTGCCCGCCCCCTCCTCCGTCTGTTCCTCCAATCAGCGCTGGAGGATCGGAGAGGGAAGGGGAGAATCCCTGCGGTGGAGTGACGGTCAACGCTCTCTGCAGGGAGATGATCAGGAACTGAGTGAGCGCCGGTATGTGTTCGCTCACTTCCTGATCTATAGAGCCGACCTGTGACAGTTTCAATGTCTCTAACGGCTCTAACTATGTGGATGAGTGTAATTCAATCTCCTCATAGTTCTCCTTTAGGCCCCATTCACACTGCGCGATTCGCAAATCGCGCGTTTGTCGCGCGATTTGCATTTTGCGCGATATAGTGTGATTTGCCGCGCGATATCGCACAAATGCTTGCATTGAAAAGCATTGAATCGCGGCAAAATCCGCTCCAAAAAGGGTCCTGCTGTAGCAACACACGACCCACGACAGCAGGACCCTTTGCCCCATTGCCAAGCATTGGAGAGCGATATCGCGCGGTAAATAGCAGCGATATTGCGCGGTAAATAGCCGCGATATTGCGGGAATTACCGCGCGATAAATCGCTCAATGTGAACGGGGCCTTAAGGACCCATAACAAATGGATGGGTCCATACAGCGTACGCATTATATTACAACCCATGTCAACACTTTAAGCATCACGTAACTTCATCTTTGTCATTCTGAACAATGCCCACATTTTATTACATTTGATTACATTTCCAATTCATTTTTAATTCTTATTTTTCTTTGCAGCTATTTCACTGACTGCAGCTGAAATATCTTTCATATGACCAGATCCGTTTAGTAGCTTTCTTCTCTTGTTTTTCTGCAGACATAGTGCTTTGTAGCTGTTATTCTTCCCCGTCTCTTCTTAGGTCTACTACCTTGGCAAAGGAGAAGAGTCTAAGATGAAGATTTCTGAGTGTGGCATTTGTATAGAAGACCTCTTTCTGTCCCATATGAAGAAAGTGGCCAGCTATGTGACCTCCTCCTATCCTAGGGTGCGAGTGATCGCCTGGGATGACATGCTGCGTGGAGCATCCATCCAAACCTTGACAGGTCAGAGGATGTGTCATATTTATAGAGAGTTTTAGAGAAATAAAGTAACTAATACGACCCACTGACAATGGCTAGACAACTAAGGCCCTATTGACACTTGCGACTGGGGCCGATAGCATTAGTCTCATGCCAACAGCTGCAGGGAGAAAATGCTGTACAAAGCAATGACAGCTGAAAGAGGCCATAGCCATTTGCATGTAATTAGAAATGCTGCAATTACCTGCCGACGATGGCACCAGTTAGCAACGGTGTCTGCACTGCCTGTGTAGATCTATATGCTGGGGTGTGTTCCTGACACTCAATAGAGCTGAAGAAGTGGCCTGTATGAGCTACAAAACATCTTCCAACATTACAGAACTATTAAATGTTACTAACTACTATAGGGCCGCAACCAACTAATCGATAATAATCGGCTATGAGAATAGTTATCAACTATTCTCATTATCAATTAGTTGGTTGGATCCCTTAGCTTTCTCCTCCATGCTGGGAGGAGGGCACAGCAAGCAGTGGGCGGGTGCAATAGCCAGCCTTTTGCAATTTGAAATGGCCAATAGCAGGCTGGCTATTGCACAATCCCACTACCTGCTGTATTTTTTTTTCTTTAATCAGAACAGTCCAGGTATTATTATATAAGTGTGTGTGTATTATTCTGCCTCCTGTCTCCTTTAGAGTCTGGAGTTGCACAACTAGTGGAGCCTATGATCTGGGACTACACTCCGAATCTGGATGTTGATGGCAGAAGTAAGTTGAGTCAAATCAGTTTGCTCTTTTATATGTTTTACATAATAAAGAAAATTCATTTAGGATACACACAAGTCGTACATTTTGCCCACTGCTTCCTGTTGATTGGCTGGTAAGCAGACCAGTCACAATTGGGCTGACACAAGTTAGTTGACACATTAGTTCACATTAGTTGTGAAGTATTTTAACAGAGCAGAATTGCTTATAAGTAATGTATATTAGGGATGCACCAATACCGGATCTTCGGTATCGAGTACGAGTACCGATATTTTTATTTTTCGGTAATTACTGCTACCGGAAGTCTCATTGAGTCCTGATTAGCCGGAAAGCTCAGAAGCGTGTAATGACCAGCCAACCGGCTTCCCAATTAGCTAGGATGCCGTCTCCATGCTCCCTTGTTACCAGGTGACGAGGAAGCATGGAGCCAGCTTTCTGGCCAATTAGGAATTGCACGCCTTCCTGGCTAATCAGGGCTTAATGGGGGCAGGTAATGACTCGAAACCTGGCTTCCTGATTGGTCAGGAAGCTGGCTAATCAGGAACAATCATTACACGCTGCTTGGCTTCCTGATTGGCCGGGAAGCCAGCTCCATGCTCCCTCGTCACCAAGTGACGAGGGAGCATAGAGCCGGCTTCCCGGCCAATCAGGAAGCCAGGCAGCGTGTAACAACACGCCTACCGGCTTCCTAATATGGAAGTTCTGGTATCAGGATAGGCATTGGGAGCATATGGGCGAGGACGAGTACTCACCCAAAAACTCAGTATCGGATACCAATACTAGTATCTGTGCATCCCTAATGTATATTTCTCCCCTTATTTAGCTTTACATTCTTTGAATCTCACTCTTTGGTTTGAGTGCGAGTGCGGTCCTACCCAGGAGCTCTGTGAAAAGCTTTGCACTGGCATATATAAAGCTCGGAGCTGAGTTGAACTAAGAGGAATTAATCTCAAGTCCTGGCATACATAAAAGAGACACATTAATGCAGCTCTGTAATCAATAATACAGTAATACATAATTAAAGGAGAACTATAAGGTGAGTGCTTTTCACTCACCTCATAGTTCTAGCCGACCTGCGACAATGAGACTGTCACAGGTCGGCTCAGTAGATCAGGAGGTGAGCGAACATATACTGGCATTCTGTCACGGCTCTCTGCCGTGACAGGGGAGGGGCTCCGATCTGCCAGCGCTGACTGGCGGAACGGACGGGGGAGGGGGCGGGTACAGCTGGCTCTGCCTCTAGATAGGTAGAGCCAGCTGTCACTCACGCAGCTGGGCGGATCTCGACATCGATGTCGGGATCCGCTCCGGTGTCTCGGTATACTGAGCTTAGGGTAACGGGAGGACGCTAGTTTGTGTCTTCCCGTTACCCTAAGGAGAACTATGGGGGAAAGCCCTGACCCCATAGTTCTCTTTTAATTTAAACACAAGCAATGTAAGTAACTGAATTTGACGTGGTATCAGCCTATTGCTGATCTCTGTACTGCAAAGTGGGGAAAGGAGATTCAGCACAAAGAGCTTATTTGTCTGCAATGCTAACCAAGGGACGTGCTGATGGGAGGAGAGAGAAGAGCTCATCAATCATCTGCTTCTCCTTTTTACTGTCCAGTCACAGGATGGGGGAGGGACAGGACCTGTAAGTGTTGCTGTACCGCGGATTAGAAAAATCAGGTCTGCTGCCCTGCCAGATAGGGTTGTACTGTTTGTCGGAGCTGTGTAAATCTCTGGGCTGGGTGGACAAATACAATCCTTTGTATAACATCTTCCTTAAGTGTATTTCATATGTGCATTTAGCCGCTTACCTATAGTTCAGCTTTAGGCACAGCTGCATATTTCCTGGATAGCACTTCATTTATATGTATATATGATATAAAATGTTGCCTGAAGTTGCTTTTTATAAGATATTCCTCTGGAGACTCCATCAGTGCCATTCAGTGTTTGAGTTATCTGTTGTCTCCCCGCAGCTGATCTGATCGAGAAATACTGGCAGTGCGGCTTCCACAAGATCTGGTTGGCCAGCGCTTTTAAAGGTGCAACCGGCCCTTCCCAACTGCTGACCCTTATCGGGCATCATCTGGAAAACCACAGATGTTGGCAGCAGGTTGCCCAGAGAGTGCCACAAGGCATCCTGCAAGGACTGGCGCTGACAGGGTGGCAGCGGTAAGTACATGAGGGGAAGCCATGTTGTCTACCAAAGCAATGTTTAGAATGGAGCTGCTTCGCAATGCACTTGGAACTGGTCATATCATAGGGGCATATGGCACAGGCAACGGCAGCCGATATCACTGCAGCAGCGGCAGTGTTGTCGGCTTACTACAGGAAGTTAGGAGCTCACTGGATTTCTGATAGATCATCAGGTATTTTCCTGTACTTGCAGAGATTCTAAAGTCATAAAACACGGTGACTTGTGAGATGTACTGTATGTGGTTTGTTTTTTTATTTTGCCAAGACATACACTTTAAAGGATAACTGTACCTTTTGAAATAGTTGTCCTTTAAAGGAGAACTATGAGGTGAGTGCTTTTCACTCACCTCATAGTTCTAGCCGACCTGTGACAATGAGACTGTCACAGGTCGGCTCAGTAGATCGGGAGGTGAGCGAACATATACCGGCGTTCGCTCACCTCTCGATCCTGTCACGGCTCTCTGCCGTGACAGGGGAGGGGATGGATTCCCCACTCCCCGCTCCGATGCTCCAGCGCTGACTGGCGGGGGGGAGGGGGCAGGTACAGCTGGCTCTGCCTCTAGATAGGCAGAGCCAGCTGTCACTCACGCAGCTGGGCGAATCTCGGCTGTAGCTCGCGGTATACTGAGCTTAGGGTGACGGGAGGACGCTAGTTTGTGTCCTCCCGTTACCCTAAGGAGAACTATGGGGAAAAGCCCTGACCCCATAGTTCTCCTTTAGGGCCTGCCCCACTTTCCCCCCTGAGTGCAGCCGACCTGGTCCAATACTCCTGCCACTGGTGCAGCAATCTTCACTGACTGACTCAGCCTTCTGACTGGACCTTTTTATAAGTTTGTGACATCATCACTTACAAAGAGAAGCCATAACTATCCCCAGGCACCCAGGGGAGGTATCAAGGATGCGCCATCATTACTTCCTGTCACTGTCCGGCGCCACTAGAACCAACTACAATTCCCATAATACAGTGGGAATAGTAGCTGTCAAAAGGCATTAATGTGGGCAGGATTGTAGGCGCAGGCCAGGAGTCTCCTGACCTGTCAATCATGGTGTTGTTTTATAGTGGGTGGGAAAGACCAGAAGTCTCTAGACCTGTCAATCAAATGCAGTCCTGTAAGTTGGAGGGACAGAGCTGGAGATTGAGATGCCCAGGTCCTCCCACTACAGTTGTCAGTGATATAATTACATTGCTGCTGGTAAAAAAAGAAACACTGGGTGTACATTATATGACCGCTGGTCCAGGAACAGAGTCTTCATGGATCGCCTAAAGGCAGACAGAGTAGGACATAGCCGGACAGGTTGCGGTAGGGAGTTCAGGGATTGAACTACTATGTATCTATGTGCTCAGACTCACTATTCATCTTTCAGGTACGATCATTTCTCCGTCCTCTGCGAGCTGTTGCCGGTTGGAATTCCGTCACTGGCCATCTGTTTGCAGACTATTAAAGAAGGTACGGGATGCTAACCACTGATAACGTTACAGATTATTTCAAAGATATTCGGTAGAGAAATGCGTGGAATCCTCATAGGCACATTGTAATGCATATACGTCAGCTGCTTTACCTGCATGCATTTAGGAGTTTGTAGAGGGGGTGTCACACGTAATGGTCACATCGTCTGGTCTCTCTCCCCAGGATCTTATTCTGAGCACACCGCAGCCTCTGTGAGAAGCATCTTAGGAATGGCGACTCTGGATGTGGAAAACTACATGAGGTCAACTACGTTTCTTTTACCTTTGAGGAAACTAACATCATTTATGTATTTACTACCAGCATTTATATATTGCCGTCAACTTACGCAGCACTTTACATTCAACAATGAAACAAAACAAGAGAGGGGCGCCTTTTCCTAGTGCAGATCAGTTTTATTCAACAATTAAAAGGAGGATGGATAAGTAAATAAGTACTCGCAAAGGTCCTGATGAAGGGGGCGTGCCCCGGAAACGCGTCGACACTCCTATATACCGATCTGCACATAGGACGTATCTGACAGACTGCTACTGCTATCATTCCGGTTCGGTCTCTGCACTGTTCTAAATGCTTGTGAATTCCCTCTTGTGTGAGTACTTATTTACTTATCCATCCTCCTTTTAATTGTTGAATAAAACTGATCTGCACTAGGAAAAGGCGCCCCTCTCTTGTTTTTTTTTTCAGTGTCTTCAGTGTCTCCCTGGCTGTATTGGGGCTGCCTCCTGCATAGATGCCAGCTCTGCCCAAAGTGACCATATATGAAAACCTCTGGCGCTTCCTGATATATCATTTCTGTTTGTTAGCTTACAGTCTAAGCCCTCGTTCACACCTGAACGTTTTGTAGCGCGTTCAACGCTCGACGAACGCTCTACAAAACGCTCAAACATGAAAATCCCATTGTATTCAATGGGTCTGGTTCACACCTTGGCGTATTTCAACCCGTCCGAGCGCGATACAAAACGGCCTACGCCTGAAAAGGTACATGAGCTTCTTTGCGGCGTTTTTGTCTCGCGTCTCCATTGGGATACAGCCAAGTAGCCCTCGGAAACGCGCGTTTTTTTAACCGCGAATCGCGGTAAAAACGCGCGCCGACAATCGCGCATATTCGATACGCCTAGGTGTGAACAGGGCCTAAAGTTCACGTTTCACATGCATACATACGAGGGCCAATTTAGACAGGCACTAATTTATTTTCCAGCATGTCTATGGAGTGTGGGAGGAATCCGGAGTACCCGGAGGAAACCCAGGCAAGCACAGGGAGAACATGCAAACTCCTTCCAGATAGTGTCTTGACTGGAATTCAAAACAAGGAACCCAGTGCGGCAAGGCAGACATGCTAACCACTAAGCCTCTGTACTGCCAACAGCAGCAATGTTTTAGCACACCTGTTTCCTTAAATGGGTCTATTTATAAGAAATTTGCATATAAGCTGCTTGTACATTCCTTCTGTGCGAGGTAACCAGCTGTTACCTTTTGCCCCTGAGAATGGGGCAAAAGCAAATGTTGTCATTATCATCTCTGTTCAGGTGAAACGTCCTTCAATAGGTACATTGAAGTTACAATTCTTGAATCCGCTGGATGGAATGAGCATATAAATATAACTATTGATACTACGGGGATAGATTTAGATGCTCATTCTCTCTAGCGTTCTTTTGAATGGTTTCAGGTAGGGATGAACCAATACCGATACTAGTATTGCTGCCGATACCAAGTATTTGGGCGAGTACTTTTACTCGCCCAAATGCTCGGATACTTACCCCCGATACCAGAACTTCCAGTCAGAGGGAGATCTCGCTCTGACCGGCAGTGCCGGGGAGCATGGAGCCAACTTCCTTTCCAATCAGGAACCCGGGCAGTTGGTTATGACCCGCCTCCCGGCTTCCTTATTGGCTAGGAAGCCAGCTTCACTTGTTGCTAGGCAGCCTGGCTTCCTAACAAATTAGGAAGGTGGGTCATGACGTGCCACCGGGCTTCCTGATTGGTTAGGAAGCCAGGCTGCCTGGCAACAAGTGACGGAGGCTTCCTAGCCAATCAGGAGGCAAATCATGACATGCCACCCAGCTTCCTGATTGGCTAAGAAGCCGGCTTCACTTGTTGCTAGACAGCCTGGCCTTCTGACCAATCAGGAAGCCAGAGGGCACCTAATGACTCGCTGCCCGGGTTCCTGATTGGTCAGGAAGCCAGGCAGCTTGGACAAGTGAAGCTGGTGATCTTTCGCTAGAATACCGGCTTCACAGGCAATCAGGAAGCTGGGCGACGGGTCATGATCCGCCGGCAGACTTCCTGGTAATCGGGGCACCGGTACTCGGTATTGGCGAGTGTGTAAAAAAAAAATATTGGTACTCGATACCGAAAAAACGGTATTGGGGCATTCCTAGTATCAGTAAAACAGCAAAAGGTTTTCCTGGCACACTCACAAGCCAGCATGTATAGAAACTTGTCTCACCACTAAGGTTAAAAACAGAGGTTTAGATACACGTCTTCTGCAGAAAATGTGAAAGCCGCACAGCTGCGCCAAGGCACCTCCACATAGTGCGGTCCTAAAATTGCGTGCAAAATGTTATCTTCTGCCCCGTGTGCTCCAAGATGGAGACTCTCATAGTTTAGAGTTAGGACCACACTATATAGAGGTGCCTTGGCGCGGCTGTGCGGCTTTCACATTTTCTGCAGAAGACGTGTATCTAAACCTCTGTTTTTAACCTTAGTGGTGAGACAAGTTGTTTTACATGCTGGCTTGTGAGTGTGCCAGGAAAGCTTTTTTCTGTTTTACTGTTTAAAGCCCATTCCGTGTGCACCTTGCTGTAAAGCTGGTGACGAATTGATGAGTGCGTTTGTCATTTGTTTTGCTATTCCTAGTATCAGGTCACACATATATACGCTTTAGATACTCATTCACATTTATGAATTCAGATGGAGAGATGGATCCTGTCTCCCTGCCCCATGGGAATGAATGTGTTCTTTTTATTTTCCCATAGTTACACTTTGTTTTTCTCTGCGGTGTATCTTCATTGGCTGTGACTTTGCTTTATTGACATGAAATATATGTATATCTTTTTGTGACAGTGAGGTTACAGGCAGCTATCCCGGCAGTGAGGTCCTGGAGCTCATCACTCAATTTTTCTTCTTCCTGAAGACTCCCACAAGAGAGTTTTTGGATGGGGACAAGTAAGTCCAGGGCACCTTGGATAACATGACAGGCTTAATAATATTTCCCCCCAGTGTTCTTGTTTAAATATTTATCTCTGCTTGTCAAAAAAAAACCTCTGAACAATTCTTCAGCACATCACATCTTTATATCTACTATTATTGCCTGCCCGCTCCTCACCTGCATGAAGCCCGATTTTGTGGGCATTCCTATTGTGTACCTCAAGCAGAGCTCTGTTACTACCTCCCCCTCTGCACTGGCAACCACACTAGCTCAGCACCCTATCGAAACAGGACAATGTGCTACCTGTACTCTGTCCCCAGGATGTGAGACTTCTTCTTTCACTTTTGCCGCCAAATATTTGTTACATGTTCCCATTCACATAGCACAACAATTAAGAAGAACTCCTGGCAGTGCTCACTGCAAGGCTTTAAGTGCTCGTTTTGTCTGGGGAGCTAAAATACTCACCTGAACCATGATTCCGGCTGACTCCTAGACCGCTTCCTTCAGCCTGTCTCCTCCTCTGCTCCATGCAATGAAAAGTTCCTCAGCATCCTCACGTCCAATAAACTGTGTAGGACGTGATGCCTTACTGGACCTTAGACTGCTGGAACGGAGGGAGAGTGAGGCTGAAGGGACCCATCTAGGAACCGGCCGGGATCGAGTTCCGGATGAGTATAACTTCCTAGACAAACTGACCACTTAAAGTGACATTAAACCCTCAGATGTTTTAACATAAAGCAATACTGTAATGTGCGCCTTACTGTAATCCATGGTTGCTTCCCTTCTCTTTGCTGCTCTTCCTTTTTAAATCCTCATGTCTTCTCATGCTTGGGGAGAACTTCGCTTTGCAGCTGAGTGCCTCTTCCTGTAGTGCTGGCTCAGGTTGTGAACCTGCACACAGACACCATGTATCCATTCCAGAGACAAGGCAGTCTGCTGCAAAACAGAAGTTCTGGCCAGCATGAGAACAGATACAGATTTAAAAGGAAGAGCAGCAAAGAGAAGGGAAGCAACCATGGATTACAGTAAGGCACACATTACAGTATTGGTTTATGTTAAAAAATCTGAGGGTTTAATGTCATTTTAACACTTGCAGTGCCGGGGTAGCCCCACTGTAAGGGTTAAGATTTTATGGATGCTAATTGGAATGGAAGCCGGCTTCCCAGCCAATCAGCATGGAACCAGCCAATCAGCATAGAGCCGGCTTCCCAGCCAATCAGCATAGAGCCGGCTTCCCGGCCAATCAGGAAGCCGGGCGGCGACTCATTACTTGCATCCCGGCTTCCAAGGCCAATCAAATTTTTTTACTCACAAATGGGCTCTCGCACCGATCTCTCGTACATCTCCTGGTACCTCTTAAAAGACGGGATGTTATCTGCAGCGGAGGGAAGGCCTCAGGTGCAGACATGACAACTACAGAACTCTTGCAAACGCAGACAAGGTAAGATTACCCGAAATGGAGAAGGTGCCAAACAGCCGGCTCGATGCTGATTGGCTTCCCAGGTAATCAATAAGCCGGGTGGCAGGTAATGACACGCTGCCTGACTTCCTGATTGCCCAAGTAGCCGGCTCCATGTTAGCAGGAGTACCGGTATCATTAAGTACCGAAATAAATATATCGGTACTCATACGCAATATCGAAAAACTGGTATCGGTGCAGCCGTAGTTCTGTTAAATGTACTATTAAAATATTTTTATTATAGCTGTTTAATTAGTGCAAAATATACTAGCTAATCTCTGTAGACTACAGAACACATCCTCACTATGTTAGATGAGGAGAAAGAGAACGTGTTCTGTAATCCTGTCCTAGGGTCACAACACTGCTCCTCCATGGATGTAGTACATTGAGGGAGCATTGCCATCCCAGGACAGGAAGTGCGTTACTAACAGGATCACCAGGTAAAAAACTAAAACCTGGGAAAAAAAGAAAACGAATGCAGCCATTACATTACTGAGGACTGGACTCTGCTATATATTACAATTTTCTTTTTGGGTTTCAATACACTTCAAATGAGTCTGCTAACAGCTTGTTTAAAGTGAATGTAGAAAACCAAAGCAGTTTCTTTAAAGCTGAACGCCACGCACAGCTTCATTTAAATGTACTCCTCAATACCCTCAAAGGACATAAATCTAATTTGTGTGTACCAGATGCCTTAGCAAACCCAGATATTACCATCATCACTGTGCTGTGCATATTCTGTGTAGAGAGCAGAGCTGTGGGAGGATTCCAGCAGGCTCCACCCAGGAAATTACAGGAGGGGGCAGAGACAAGACCAGTCACCCTGCACAAGGAGAGAAAGCAGCAGTGACTGGTCTTTATTACAGAAGGGGGCAGAGACAAGACCAGTCACCATGCACAAGGAGAGAAAGCAGCAGTGACTGGTCTTTATTACAGGAGGGGACAGAGACAAGACCAGTCACCCTGCACATGGAGAGAAAGCAGCAGTGACTAGTCTTGTGGAGTAAACGGGACCCTTCAGAGGAGTCAGTCTTGAGGAGTCATGGGACCTTCAGGAGGAGCCATGGGACCCTTCAGGAGGAACCAGTCTTGAGGAGTCATGGGACCCTTCAGGAGGAGCCATGGGACCCTTCAGGAGGAACCAGTCGTCTTGAGGAGTCATGGGACCCTTCAGAGGAACCGGTCTTGAGGAGTCATGGGACCCTTCAGGAGGAGCCATGGGACCCTTCAGGAGGAACCAGTCTTGAGGAGTCATGGAACCCTTCAGAGGAACCGGTCTTGAGGAGTCATGGGATCCTGTAAAGAAGTTGGAAAATCATCTGGCAGCATCTCAGATCACTCACATATTTTCTAGAGGAGACTCTTCAATCTCTTTGACAGAAATGTTTCTCTGCTCCATAATCTGCATCACCTCACCTGGAAGACAAAGCAAAGGGCACATGAGGTGCAGGTCAGGACAGCCATGGCACAGACCAGTCACTGCTGCTCCCTCTCCTTATGCAGGGCGACTGGTCTTTATTACAGGAGGGGACAGAGACAAGAGCAGTCACCCTGTACAAGGACAGAGAACAGCAGTGAGCGGTCTTTATTACAGGAGGGGGCGGAGACAAGACCAGTCACCCTGCGCAAAGAGAGAGAGAGCAGCAGTGAGCGGTCTTTATTACAGGAGGGGGCGGAGACAAGACCAGTCACCTTGCACAAGGACAGAGAGCAGCAGTGACCGGTCAGTTTCACAGTCCGGTACAGATCTGGAAGAACTCCACAAAGCTCACCGAGAGTCAAGGAAGGATACACATGACTCTTGTATTTAATATTTGCTTATACCAGAGTTCAGCTTTTAAAGGCTTCAGCAATTCTTGCTTTCCCAATACCTTGTAGACTTTGTAGTCCTTGGTGCTCTTATGTAGAAGGCCCTGACACATGCATCGGTAACAACTGTATCTCGTCTTGTATTTGCAGGTTTGTTACCGGCTGGTTCAGCCACTTTCACCGTAAGAGAAAACGTCTCCACCCTATAATGGTGCAGCAGATTGAGCCCCAAGCAGTCAGGTAATGAATACAGGTCATGTCTAGTGGCAGCCATATTGTCATGAACCCAATGGCTCAACCCAACGTGTTTTATTGACATTGTTTAGATCAGCCCTCCAGCTGTGGTGAAACTACAAATCCCATGATGCATCTCTCTCCGAGAGTCATGTCTGTGGCTGTGAGAATCTTGCACTGCCTCATGGGATTTGTAGTTCCACCACAGGTGGAGGGCCAGAGTTTGGCTACCCCTGCTTTGGACATAGGGTACCGGAGGAAAAACATGTGTATTAAAGATGTATTCCATTGCAGTATATTTAATGCTCAACATCACATGTGGGTGTTACTTAGGGCAGTCTCCATGCAAATTCAGCCTGCCTAGGAACGCCCACTCCTTCAGACAGACACCCACCCAACTGATATTTGCATAAGTCCTCCAGAGAGCCAGCCCACTGCTTGCATCAATACTGAGGGCTCTCGAGAGGAGTAATGAGGCAGGGTACTGTGACGGTTTCAGGAAGCTATGTACAGCACACTGCCGGCCCCTCCCACCAGCCATGTACAGCACACTGCCGGCCCCTCCCACCAGCCATGTACAGCACACTGCCGGCCCCTCCCACCAGCCATGTACAGCACACTGCCGGCCCCTCCCACCAGCCATGTACAGCACACTGCCGGCCCCTCCCACCAGCCATGTACAGCACCCTGCCAGCCCCTCCCACCAGCCTTGTACAGCACCCTGCCAGCCCCTCCCACCAGCCATGTACAGCACCCTGCCAGCCCCTCCCACCAGCCGTGTACAGCACCCTGCAAGCCCCTCCCACCAGCCATGAGTCTACCATAAGGTATATGAAGAGGAAGATTAAACTTCAGCTGTAATAATGGAAGCTAACTTTTGTTCCCTTACTATGCAACCATAGCCTGCTGTCCAAATGGACATCCGTATTGGAGGAGCTGCAGACGGCCATGCTGAGGATCTTTCCCTCAGTCACAGTGGAGGAATGGATGGAAGAGAACGCCTTACCGCATTACATGCAGCTTCAGGAATTGGTGGAAGATCTGAACTCTGCCACGGACGTAGGGGGTAATACTGTCCAATAAATGATCTAGGACAGCTCTCTGTTCTTATTCAGAACTCGGTCCACATGTATATCCTGATTGAAAGGGAATCCAAATGTTATATAATATATCTTTGTGAATGCGATCTTAAATGTGAAATAATCGCATCAAATCTCATTAATGTTAAACAACCGACTTGTTTCTACGCATGGTGTAAATGGGGCGGCAGTACTTGTTATACACAAAGCTTGTTCTTGGCAATAGGGATGCACTAATACCGGTTTTTCGGTATGGAGTACGAGTACCGATATTTTGCTTTCGTTGCTCGCTGATACCGGGCAATCAGGAAGCTGGGTAATGACATGCCACCCGGCTTCCTGATTGCCTGGGAAGCCGGCTCCATGTTGTTTGGCTGGCTTGATTGTGATTGGCCGGGAAACTAGCTTCCCAGCCAATCAGGAAGCCTGGAGACGGGTCATTACTCGGCCCCCGGCTACCTGAATGCACAGGAAGCCGGCTTCTTGTTCCCCTACGGCACCGCCAGTCAGAGGAAGCATTCCTAATACTATACTACTCGGTATCGGCACCAATACCGATACTAGTATCGGTGCATTCCTACTTAGCAATGCAACGCTGTAATTGTCCTTAAGGGCCGGTTCACACCACAAAGAGTGTGTTCCCAAGCGTTCGGCCTCTGGAACGTAACCCGGCCGGCTCCCTGCGGGAGGGGGCATGGCTGTGCATTGAAGTCAATGGAACAGCAGCCATGCCCCCCGCCTGCAGTGCGATCGCCGGCACCTGAACGCGTGGCACATCAGTGCCTGTGTTCCGGTCCAGTGCGATCTACAAAAATGCTGCATGCACTATTTTTGCAGATCGCAGTGGACTGGAACGCAGGCACTAATGTGCCACGCATTCGGGTGCCAGCGATCGCACTGCGGGCGGTCTTGCGTTCCCGAACGCTCTGGAACGCACTCTTTGTGGTGTAAACCGGCCCTAAGGGCTTGTTCACACCATCTCTGTATCAGAACTATTTTTTTGTCCGCACCTGAAATGCCTCCCACTGTATACCTATGGTATTTCTGGGCTCTGTTCACACCAGTGCAGTCCGTTCTTGTGCGGGGGAATGCTGCATGCACTATTTCTGGTCTGGAACGCACCAAAATGCATGTAAACGCATCAGAATTGCATGCAAATGCTCTGGACCACACCTGAAGGCACATTTTTGGCTAAAAAAAAATCCTGCATGCATGAAAAACGCACTTCGTTTGCAGAAGCACATTCAAATCTAGTCCAGACATGGTGTGAACAAGCCCTTGCTGTTCCTCTTTCTCAGAGAACGTCTGTGTTTAAAACAAGGAGGCGGCTAAGGCTGATATACTTTAATACTGATGATTACCCATCAGTGGCCCCCAGAAACATGTCAGTACTGCCTGGCGCTGGGCAGAGCCAATAGGGAGCAGTCTAATCTGAGAACTGTGTTTTATATTGACCAGTTTGATTAGACTAGCAGGATTTTTCCCGATTTTATAACTCCTTTAACATATACTGTATATACTGTATGTAAACTGGGAGACGTTATATTTGTAAATCAATGTGGAAAATAAACAATTGCCGTCCTTTCTGTCACATAAAAGGTGAAAACTGTGTTTTCTAATTCTTTTTCTTATCATGGTGCTGCTGATCTCCTCCAGCCTCTTTCAGACACTTCCTGTCTACATGCACTTGCTCCAGTGTCAGCTGCACATCATCGCTCTGCATCGGCTTCCTGATGTTGATAGCGGAGGACCATGGTTGAGCAATGATCGGCAGCATAGCTATTTTAGACTCCATGTGACAGGATGACAATGCCGGAGCGCAGCTGGGAGACGTACAGAGCGTTTGTTGTCACCCTGTAACAGGAAGTGCCTGGACAAGGACCTTAAGCCCTCATTCACACAGGAATCGTCCCGCACGTACAGCTCCGTGCAGGATTGTATCGGGCAGGAAGGACAGGTGCTGCGTGTGATTAGTACGCAGCCCCCGTCCTTCTCTATGGGAGTATGTGGCCGTACGCCGCCCTACGCTCACCCCAAGTGCAGGTCCGTACGGGTGCGGGTGTCCCGGCTCGGATGTAGACAGGATCCATCCCGTCAGCGTACGAGTACGTTCACCCGCACGGGTGTGCAGGGAGGGTGAGTGTAGGGGGGCGTACGGCCGCGTACTCCCATAGCGAAGGACGGGGGCTGTGTACTAATCACACGCAGCACCTGTCCTTCCCGGGAGCTGCCCGATACAGCCCTGCACACAGCACGGAGCTGTACGTGCCGCCCGATTCCAGTGTGAATGAGGTCTAATTTCAAGGTCAGTAGGAATTATTTTACTGAGATTTTAAAAGAACCTATACAAATGTTTCAATGGCGTTAACATGTTAAAGGGGAACTTCAGGCAAAAAAGTATTTAAATATATTCCTCTGTAGCCAAAAAGCTAATAAACCAAATATATATATAAATCTATATACAGTATATTCACATATACATACACACAGTGTACCATTGTACTTATTCTGTGAGTTCTGGTGATTGCTTCATCCATTAAAAGTGGCCTCTGGTAATGATGAGGTGAGAGTGGCCGCATTTGAATGCGACAGTCTGTCGGCATTCCGATCGGTAGATGCATCCAGGGATAGTAATCTATTCCTAACCGCATGTAATCACATCGTATCGCATATGATTACCGTATATACTCGAGTATAAGCCGTCCCGAATATAAGCCGAGGTACCTACTTTTACCAAAAAAAACTGGGAAAAACTATTGACCCGAATATAAGCCGAGGGTGGGAAATGAGGCAGCTACTGGTAGATAGATACCAATAAAATTACATGAATATTTATTTAAAAGAAAAATAACCTAGCTCTGTAAGTGGAAAAGGGGGTACAGGGCTACATATCATGTACTACGGATCATTTAACCCATTCATATTAGCAGAGGATAATTGTAAATCTATTGTTCAGTGCATTCTATATGTAGTATATAGTACATGTACATATAGAGTGCCTGATCTCCGGAGCAGCAGTGACGCGACGCTCGGCGAGGTAAGTAAGATGACGTGCTGGCGCTGACTCGAGTATAAGCCGAGGGGGGCACTTTTCACCCAAAAAAAATGGGCTGAAAATCTCGGCTTATACTCGAGTATATACGGTAC